GGTTGACTTGGAGGTAGAGGTGGTGGGAAGGGAAGAGGGATAGCATCGGCATTGCGGAAGGGTGAATCGGCAGGAAGATCAAGTTTCTTTATCAGGGACATCCAACCAAGGGAGAAGCCCCTGTTGCATGCCTGCCTGACCTGAAGTTTATACTCCTCAGTAACGTCGGTCATACCCTGGACGTAGGCCTTTTCGTCGGCCGCCTTGATTTCGGCATCTTTAGTAGATAAAGCATCTTGAAGTTCCTTTTCCGCTTGGGCCTTTTTGTCCTCGGCTTCTTTCTTCTCGGCTTCGGCGACCTTCTTAATTGCCTCGGCAGATTCAGCTTTTTCCTCGGCTAGACTTTGGGCCTTGGTGGCGGCCTCAGCTTGGTCCTCCAGTTTTTTCATCTTTGATTCAAGAGATTTGTTTTCCTTTTTCAGGGCAGAAACCTCCCTCTTCATGTTGGCGAACCTCTCCTTTGTTTCAAAAGCTTGCATGGAGAGGGAGTGGGCATGTTGGATGGCCTGAAAGAACACAAGGCACAAATTGTTACAAAATTTTACAAATTAAGAGAGAAAACAGATTTCAACACAAAGGCACTTACTTGGACAGAGTGTTGCAGCATAAAGGCGTAGTTCTCATACTCACTCATCTTGGCATTTCGCTCAAGATCGCCTGGGAGGAGTAGAGCAATACTTAGGGCCACGCCGACGTTTATGTCATCAGCACTGTCGCTGGCTAGGACTGGCTTATCTTCCAGAGTAATCTTTGGTCTCCAAGGGACTTTTGGTATTCTGGAACCCGAGGTCGTCGCAGACGATGACCTCGGCTTCTTTGATTGGGTGGATTCTAATGGCTTGGTCTCTGCAGACCTTTTTGCAGAAGTAGAAGCAGTTTTTTTACTCTCAGCCAATTGTGAGATGGGCAAAGCATCCTCAGCCTCAATCTCAGCGGCTTTGGCCTTGGGCTGAGCCTTTTTAATTCTCTTCGGCTTTGGTGGGGGCATGGTTTACATCGGTTGAGCGTTAACATCCGTGGGAAGGTCGGCTAGGAGATCTTGGGCAACAGGCTTCGGGCGACCCATCTCAGCAGTTTTGATGAGTCGTCGCCGACGCTTTCTTTCTGGTATTAGGATTAAGTATGGGGCTGAAGTTGATGGTTGGTCGGCTGGATCAGAGGTTGACCCTTGGTCAGCCTGAGATGTTGATGCTGTTTGTAGAGTGGTAGCAGAGGGAAGAGATAGGCTCTTCTTCTTTCTTTTTGGGACGTCGAGCAGTGTGGATTTGTATGTCGGAATAAAGTTCAGAAGGAGAGGTGCTTTCCTTTTGTAGACAGGCAAGTCCAAGAGCCTTTTCAGATCTTTGCTAAGAACGTAGGATTGGCGAAAGTCTTTCGGTAACTTACGAACGTTTGCAAGAAGAAACAAACATTAGAAACATATTAAATATTGAAGACTTGAATAGAAACAACTAAAGTATTGACATTGGGCTCTTACCCTTGCCCTCTTTAATAGATCGGGGAAGAGGGTAGAGATGGGCGTCCTCGTCTGGGCCAAACTCCCAATTTCCCGAAGCAATAACATAGTCATCTCCAGCCCCCTTGTTGGAGTCTGGGAGGTCAGTTACAATTTTGTATTCTGTTGACCTCGGCTTAAGATAATAAACGAAGCCTTTTTCCTTCAGGCTAAGGGGGCACATGGTATAACAGAACTGAATGTCGGCCAGGATAATCTTAGCGTTCTCCTGCCTAGCTAAAGCTATGATGCCATTGATCACTCGATAAGAGTTTATGGCGAGTTGCATAAGGTTCAACTTGTAAAAGTGAAGAATTTCGCGAAAAAGAATGTTAACAGGGAGCCGGAGTCCGCACTCAGTAAAAGCTACTATATGAAAGGGCATTGAATCATCTGTGGGCATGATAGAGTCATTATCTTCAGCCAGCCTCAGATGGACATCGGCAGGAATTGAGAACTCCCGCCTGAAGTACTCAAGTTTGGTCGGAGTATCTACCCTATGTCTCTACATACCCATAACGTCGGCCTAAAATTAGAGAGCTAGGTCTCAGAAAGAAGGTATTCTTAAAGGGTTATTGGAACCTCGGCAAAAACCTAGGAGAGTATTGGTACGGCTTGTTTCAGTTTTCCCTAAATTAAAGGTTCTACAAACAAATCCCAAGCCTAAGAACTATGAAGATGAAGATCAAAGGCATAGATTTGGAAAGGAAAAACAGAAAACAAGAAACAAAGAATGACGTTTCAGAAACGAAAAACAGAGGTATGGTTCTCAAAAGCGAAAGAAATACAGAAGTAAAAGGTCAAGAACAGTGGCAAGAAAAGTATTAAAACAGTGCAAGTGTTCAAAATATGAGTAAAATCATGGAATAGACGCATCTAGATGAATAGTTCAGCAAATCAAAGGTTTGAACAGCGCAATAATGGCAGTAAGTAAACGAAAGCACATAAAAGAAATTGGGAATAAGAGGAACAGAGGCTTACCGGAACAAATGAAGCCGGAATGAAAGTCGCCGAGGTAAGGCAACGGTTGTAGACGAAACGGAATGACGAAAGCTTCGCTGGAATGGAAGAATGAAGACAGTTGCAGAGCTTGGAGCTAGAGCAATGGCGGGTTTGAGAAAGTTTAGAAAGAGAGAGAGCCAGAAAATCGAATGCAAAAGTAAAGAAATGAAGATGGAGAGAAAAGTTTTATCAAAAACTTGAAACGGCGGCAAAATAGGGTATTTATTGCACCTGGAGGAACGTATGCGTCAGACGGCGCAGACAGGTGAAAGGCGGCTTACAAGTGCGTCACAGACACGGGCCAATGACGATAGAACACGTAGGGGGAACGGTTGAGAAGAAATGCATGACAGCTCATGCGCGTGAGAGAATTTGTTTAAGTTCTTGTTCTCCGAAGAGAACACGTCGGCCTGAAATAAATGATCTCGGCTGAATAGTTTTTTGAGCCAATATGCAGAAAGAAATATCGATATAGGTTCCATCACCTCAGAATACCGAGGTAATAGAACCTAGGAGGCAGTTGTGGGGATATATTTTCTGAAGTACCAACACGTGGCATGGTGACGCCGATGTGTCAGCCGACGTGCCACGTGTCGTGGTAGTTATGCCGATGTTATCATGGATAGGCCGAGGTTGACTCCGAAGATATCGGAATCCGAGATAAGCGGATAAGGGACAAGAGTCCTAGAATGAAGAGGGAACTCAACGTGGATATGGACAAGAGTCCTAGAGAAAAGAGAAGACTTCTGCTAAGATAAGGATAAAGCTCTTAGAGAGTTTATCTTTATCTCTTGAGGAAACCAAAGTAAGTACTAAATTGGAGTCCATATAAGTCAGGCTTCTAGTAGGACTTGGATTGAGTAAACTATAAAAGAGAGGCACCCCCGTGGGTCTAAGGTACGTAGTTTTATACTCAAGCTTGTGAGTTTAGCACTTGATTATCTTTGAGAGATATACTGACTTAATCGTCAGAGTGCCCCCAGGTGGAAGAGCCACCGCCGGAGCCTTTTCTTTTTTTACAGGTCTGTTGAAGCCATCTATTCTGCTGGTACTCTCCAGCTGATTATTAGGCGGGCAGTGTGGTCAAAAAATTACCCACACAGTTACGTGCATAACTAGATAGATAGATAGATAAGTAGGTACATATATAGACAAATAAGTGAGAGTAATATAATCTTCCAAATTATTATCATCTTTATAACTTAAAAATAATAAAATTTGTGACAATTTTTCAAAAAAAAATCAAAATTAGACTTGCTGCATGTCAAAATTTTAATCATATCTAATTTATTCCATTCAATAAAAATATTAAAAAGGTAGGTGGGTCAACAAAATGGGAGCCAGATGTGTTTGGTGGGATTTTGAAGTTGGAAAATTTTCCAAAAAAAAAAAAAATCAAAATTAGACTTGCTGCACGTCAAAATTTTAATCATATCTAATTTATTCCATTCAATAAAAATATTAAAAAGGTAGGTGGGTCAACAAAATGGGAGCCAGATGTGTTTGGTGGGATTTTGAAGTTGGAAGGAGTCAAGTCCATCTCTTTATTTTCCTGATAATTACTCGCCAATAAATAAATAAATAAATCTTTTGGAGTTTGGTAGACTTCGCATTCCGTGGATTAAATACATGAATTCACTGTCATGACGAAACAATACAAAATCAGTCAAGTTGTGGTAATATAGAATGACCGTTTTTATTTTATTTTATTTTATTATTTTTTTTAATCAATAGTACAGTAATTATAAATATCATAAATATTAGTCTAACTCTAGCTAGAAAATCAAGAATGATCAATCTTAAAATTAGAAAGAAATAAACAACTACAATAAACATAAAATTCATATGTTCATTCACCAACAAGATAGCGGAAATTATTATGTTCATACAAAATTGGGAAAAATGCAAATCAGTAGACAGTAAAAAAGTCAAGAATCATCAATCCTAAAATTAGAAAGAAATAAACAACTACTACTATAAACATAAAATTCATATGTTCACAAACCAACAATATAGAGGAAATTATTATGTCCATACAAAATTGGGAAAATTGCAAATCAATAGAATATTAGAAAGAAAATTACACTATAGATGAAATCTTTTATGGTGCAACTCTGACACATGAAAATGATTTGCATCAAATACCAGAAAAGAGTTGCGCCATGCACACAAAAAATTTGCACCACCATTAGAATACAAATCTTTTTTTACTATGATATTGATTTATAATTTTTCTTACAAATTCATATGTTGGTACACCAATAAATTCAAATTGATACAAACAAAGAGAATTCATTAGAAGAAAAAACAAACAAACAAACAAACAAACAAACAAACAAAACAAAACAAAAAAAAATATTAAAAAAAAAAAAAAAAAAAAAAAAAAAAAAAAAAAAAAAAAACAAAAAAAAAAAAACAAAAAAACATAGCTAAAATAGGTAGGGTAGGGTATCGAAAACATAGCTATATATGGTGATCATACATTTTCACAAGCTTAACACGTATGCACCCCTCCCCTGAGCCTCTCCCCTCAAAAATCATCTCCATGAAGAGGTTGTACATTGCTTCCCTTCTGGGAGCCCTGGTACTGTACTCGTGCATGGTTGAGTTGGCCATTTGTTCCTCAAATATCACTGATCAGTCGGCTCTCCTCTCCTTCAAGTCCCATATCACTCAAGATCCCAACATTAAGTTAGGTAACTGGACAACAGAAACCAACTTCTGTGACTGGGAGGGGGTTTCATGTAGTCGACGTAGGCAAAGAGTCACGGCCTTGAGCCTTGGCAACATGGGTCTCGCAGGCTCCATATCTCCTTATATCGGTAACCTTTCTTTCCTTAAAGTGCTCGATCTAGGCAACAACAGCTTCGATGGTCCTCTGATAAATGAAATTGGTCGTTTGCATCGCTTGACAGATCTCATATTGCATAAAAATAACTTGCAAGGAGGCATTCCACTGGATTTATACCAGTGTCGAAAGCTTCAAGTCATAGTTCTTGCTGTCAATAACTTTACTGGTGGCATTCCAGAAGAGTTGAGTAGCTTATCCTTTCTGCGTACCCTTTTACTCGAAAAAAATAACCTTACAGGTAGGATTCCACCTTCCTTTGGAAATATTTCAAGCTTGGAAAGTTTCGGGCTAGGAGGTAATAACATTCATGGAAGCATTCCAATTGAATTAGCACAACTTCCAAATCTGAAGGCATTTGACTTGACCTCCAATCATCTCACAGGTTTGATAGTTCCTACAATTTTGAAAGTTTTCAATAATTGAAATTTATTAGAATTCTAATGTCTTTAGAAATCTTCCAATTGACTACTAGGCTTTGGCTTTCCCCAAGAAAATATAGAAGAAAATTAGGAGTGTAAAAATGGCCCGCAGCCCAAGCCCGAGCCTGAGTCCCAGCCCAGCTCAAAACCCTGAGCTAGGGCCAGGGCCATCATTTTGAAGCCTGGCCTGGCCCGTGGGTCGACCCATCGGCCTGCTTAAGGCCCACTCAAGGCCCAACCCGAGGCCTAATGTATTTTTTAGTGAAAAATAATAAAATTTTAGTAGAAAAAATAAAAAAAAATAAAAAAATTTGTTCAGACCCGTCCACTCCCACCCCAAGCCCGAGCCTAGGCCCACTGGCCCGGCCGAAGGCCCGAATACCCTGGGCCTAATTTTCTGGCTCGTTGCCCGGCCTAGCCTAAATTTTGGCGGGAGCCAGCGAGGCCAGTCATGGGCCGGGCGGGCCAGGCCAAATTTACATCCCTAGAAAATATATATGTTTTATGATGTTCACATAATATATATATATATATATATATATTATATTTGATTGGCAGACATGAAAATATATATCGCTACAAATATATTGACAATTAATCATACATATTTCTTTTGAAAAATGTAAATGATTCTTCATGTCTCATGCCACCTGTGATTAGTGAAGCAGGTATGTAGGGCTCACAAATTATGTTTGGTGACGATGGAATAGCTAGGAACCTAATGCATTGTGATTGGTATGTGTGGAATGTGTCACGTAATGCCTCATGAATACCAAATAATTTTTCGTATAGAAATGTTTGAAAATAAGGTGAAAAGTAAATGTTCCAACTATTTTCACATTATGGATGTGATTAGTGAAAACCCATTTCTTTGTATTTGGACAAACTCATGAAGATTTTGAGTCGAAATCTTGGAAGTTGAAAGCCATTTTTATTTTTTTGGATTGACTAATGCTAAATAAAATAAATGAGATTTTTTTCTTTCATGTGAGAAAAGAAAAAAAAAAGTAGTAAAAGTGGAAAGAGATGAGACAACTTGGTTGGGTTTTAATCCAAGTTTGGGATATCAATTTGCTCTGCCCTGCCCCGCCTCCCTACCCCAATTTGTTTGGATTTTCTCTGCTTCCATAAGAAAATAGCCCGATTTGTTTGGATTTTCTCTACCTCCCTAAGAAAATAGGGAGGGGGTGGTTTTTCCCGTCCCCACCCTGATTATATTAAATAAATAATTTTTTAGAAAAAATTTTGGTATGCATTACACACCATATGCAACTTATACAAAATTACATAAGTTTTTACAAATTTACATAAGTAATCTTACAAAAATGCGTAAGTTCAACACAAATTCGCGTAATCACATAAGTTTTTATGAATTTACGCAAATTTGTGTTCAACTTACTCATTTTTGTGTGATCACTTATGTAAGTTGGTAAAAACTTAATTTTGTGTAGAGTTGCATACGGTGTGCATTGCTCACCGTAGCATTTCTTCTGTATCTATATATAATTTAAATCCTATTGGTTTGATTAACAATAACTTTATATCTCAATTTTTTTTTTTTGACTTGTTAAAATCTTGGTTGGTGTTATTTTATTATGGAAGTTGAGTTTTAGAAATTAATTATTATACTAAATAAGGTTGTAACATGATTGTCTTTTCTTTTTTTTTTAAATATCAATTTGACGTCTTATATTAGCAAAAAATATTAAGTTAAATTTTACGATCCCCTCTTGAATGAATACGACAAATTATATCAACAATTCTCCACTTGTCCCATCCCCGTTTTCCCCTACCGCATCCCTGCCCCCAACAAATTAAGGGACGGTAAAGGGGACTAGAAACCCACCCCGCCCGATTGCATTTCCAATCCAAGTATCCACAAATCATGACCCATAGATTTTCCTTGTTGCTCCAGTACTCTATTTCCACTCCCCTTTTTAAATACTTATCATGTGATCATCCGGAGACTCCTATTCTCACGCTGTGTTTGGTTGGAGAATTTGGGAGAGAGATTTGGAAAGAGAAATGAAGAAAGTGTATAAAATTAGGTGAAATGTAGGTATACTTTATTCACATTTCACCTATACTTCCCATTTTCCATTTTAAATCTCTCATCAAATCTCCCAACCAAACACAATATTAATTTCCACAATATCATGTGATCATATATGTCAATTGACTATGTCAGCCCACATACTAGTTTCCTGGTGAATTTGCTAGTATTTCAGGTAACCCTTTGGAAGGCTATATGTATTCCCAACATTTTACCAGCCTTACACAGATTTGTTTGTCATCACATAACAATTTTAGTGGTCAATTATGCCATGCTGGTGGGTAAACTTTACACAACATGCTTATTTGGACATTTCAAATAATGCAGGTCCTGTTCCATCTTCGATTTATAATCATTCATCGTTGCGGTACTTGTCCCTTGCTGATAATCAACTCACTGGTCCAATCCAAGAATTCACAAATAGTATATTGGATGTCATTGATTTGAGCAAGAATGATCTACATGGCCCCATTCCACCACTTTCAACCGCTCACAGTTTCATCTCGCATAACAAATTCACTGGAGAGATCCCTTTGGCTATTTGCAACATGAGTTCCCCTATAATTCTTGATTTGTCGCATAACAGCTTGAATGGTGTAATTCCAGAGTGCTTCGGAAACTTTAGCAATGTACTCAGGGTGTTAGATCTTGGGATGAATAACTTCCGTGGAAACATTCCTGTCACAATTGCAAAGCGAAACAAGTTGAAACATTTTCCCGCAAACTCTCTTGAGGTTCTTAATTTGTCTCATAATAACCTGAGTGGTGTAATTCCAGATTGTTTGGGGAATTTCAGCAATGCACTCATGGTGTTAAATCTTGGAATGAATAACTTCCATGGGAAAATTCCAACTATATTTGCAGAGGGAAACCAATTGAGGAATATTGACTTAAATGGGAATCAATTGGAAGGTCCCGTGCCACGATCTTTGGTAAATTGTACACACTTGGAAATTCTAGACTTGGGAAATAACATTATAGATGACACATTCCCCTACTGGTTGGAGTCTTCCGATGTTGCAGGCACTCGTTTTACAATCCAATAAATTCCACAGCCCTCTAGGCACTTTCAAAACTAAATTCCCCTTTCCCAAGCTTCGAATATTTGACCTCTCTCATAATGAATTTTGTGGCCTTTTGCCAACAAAATATTTTGAGCATTTCAAAGCTATGAGAAATGTGAATGAAAAGGTGAGAAGGAGATATATGGGAGACCACTATTATAAATATTCTGTGACAGTGGTAGTAAAGGGGTTGAAGGTTGAGCTAGTGAGGATTCTAACCATCTTCACGATAATTGATTTATCAAACAATAAATTCACAGGAGAGATTCCAAATGTTATAGGAAATCTTAATTCACTTCGGTTGCTCAACTTATCTCACAACGATCTTACTGGCAATATCCCTTCGTTGTTGGGAAATCTATTGTTGCTTGAATCGTTGGATCTCTCTTCAAACCAACTTGTAGGTGAGATTCCTAATCAATTGACAACTCTAACATTTCTTGCAGTTTTAAATCTTTCACAAAACCATCTCGAGGGGCGCATTCCTCAAGGCAACCAATTTAATACATTTCAAAATAACTCATACGATGGGAACTTGGCGCTATGTGGATTTCCACTGTCGAATAAATGTGGAGATAACGGGACACCACAACTGCAACCACCACCTATGTCACACCCGGAAGATGATCCAACATTTTTTAGTGGATTTAATTTGAAAGTCGTATTCATAGGGTATGGATGTGGAATGATATTTGGATTGCTTATGGGATATCTTATGTTCTTAATTGGAAAACCGAAATGGTTTGTAAGAATTGTTGAAGGAGAACGACATAAGAAAGGAAAAAGGTGCTGATCAAAAAAAAAAAAGTGAAGGAAAAAGGTCACACAAGAGTGGTAACAGACATAGAGGAAGAAGAAAGTAGAAAACACAAATGGCATCTTAGGTATGTAATGCTTTACCCTCTCTTTCTTTTTCAATGTCATTGTGTTGGATACATAAGAAAGGGATTAGTTTAGTCATTTCCATTAACTGCCACCAAAAAAAAAAAAAAAAAAACTATTTAATGAATTTGATGCTTTATAATTATATGCATGGTTTTTATAATTTATTTTTTATACTTTGTCTATTTAGTGAATTTGATAATATCTGTTAAGAAATTGAATAGAAATCAAGAACAAATGTTTTATTTAAAAGAGATTGAATCGTTTCACTTTGAGGAGGTGGATGTACTATGAGTTTAGAGTTTATGAACTATCTTGCCCTTTAATTTTAATCGAAATTCTAAAACAAATGTTATTAATTAAACTAAATTATTTAAATATGAAAATTTCCAAAATAAAATTTATATAATGAAAACTAGGGATATACCAAATTAACACAAGAGTTAAACTATAGGACAATAAGTGTGATTTACCCATAATATTTTCTATTTCTACAAACTTTGCAAGATGTAAGAATTATGTTGGCATGGGGCCTTGGTTCCTGAATTAGAGTTGTGTTGTTTGCTCAGCAAATGACTAATCCCTCCCAGAAGGGTTTTAATCCCAACCAAATCTAATGAGTAAGAGAGCATCTCCAATCAAATTTTTTAATTTGGAGTCAAATTTGTTTAACAGTTTATGTGGAAATTTAACATTTCTATAAATAACTAATCCACCCAAATTTATTATTTTAACTTTTTTTTATTGAATCTTGTATTTCAAATTTTTTGAATAAACCCATTTGAGTTGGGAGTTGGCCCGGGGGCCGGCCGATGTTAGGATTTTGGCCATTTTGATCATGTACTTAAAAAGTAAAATAATATTTTTTAAAAAATTAAAAAGTGACGTACTTAACTAAAAAAATTGCAGTGCATTTAGAATCAACTCATTACAAAGAAAAGAATCTCATGGTCATTCTATTTTCAAACACCAATTTTTCTAATTTAACACTTAATGAAATTCTTCTTTAATATAATTTTATTTTAAAATAAAAATATAATAATACACTTATATTCTTCCACCTAAACCCTAATTCTAAAACACCACAATCATTCTCCATCACCAGCGCTATCTTTTTCCCCCTCCATTTGCGACCATCTTTTGGCATGAACCATATACGCTTACAAGTCTCAATTGCAAACCATGCACTTTCTAGGTCTATAAAGGTCTAGGATGGATATAAATGAGCTAGAAGTGGCGGTGGTGGTGGTGGTGGTGATAGAGGATTAAGAGTGGCAGCAATAACGTCGAATGAGGGATAGGTGGATGGAAAAAAAAAAAAAATATCAGAGTTTTGAAATTGAGGATGAGGGTATTATTAGAATAAATTGATGTATATTGAAATTTTTTTTTTTTTGATGAGTGTACTGAGAAGTTTTCATTAAGTGTGTGCTGAGAAAAATTAGTATATAAAAATAGAATTAGTCAAATCTCCAAACCACTTTACAAAATTGTACCAACTCTTCTAATGCCTCCCTCTCTTACTTTTTTTAACAAATCCAAAATGACGCGATACAATAATATGAAAAGAATAAAATAAAATAAAAGAGTAAAATTAGTGTTATTATTTTTAAGAATTAAAATTTTTTAATATGACACGTTAACATAACATAAATAAAACATAAATTCAAAATAACACAATAAAACAACATAAAAATAAACTAGTAAAATTAATATTGAAAAATATTTGACACAAATTTAATAGAGAAAATTGGTAATAAATCCAATTTGGAGGGTGTCTAAAACATTATATTCAGTGGATAATTTTTGTTGATAAAAGCCCCACTAATTGTAAAATAGTTTGGTGAGAGATTCTTTTACTTATTTTGAAAAACATTTTATTTTCAATTTTACCTCTTAATTTATCTGTTGACTTTTTTTATGTGTTGACTTTTTTTGACTATTCATTTAAATTATTTTCTATATGTTCAAATTTTTTTTCTATCTGTTCAAATTTTTATTTATCTGTTCAAAGTTTTAACTATTTTTTAAATTTTTTTGACTATCTACTCAAAATTTTATCTATTTAAATTTTATTATATGTTCAATTTTTTTTTTTTATCTAAATTTGATATGTGGGTTCTTTCTCTATCTATTTAAAAAATACAAAATTTGATATATCTGTTTGAAATTTACCAAACTTCCTTTTTATCTGTTGAAATTTTTTATCTATCTGTTGAACCTACTGTATCTATCTCTCTCTATCTATCAAAATCTCTTTTTTTTTAGCTATTGCAATCAACCAGAAAAAGAACAACAAAGTTACACACATGAAGACAGATAGATCAACAATAACACATATCTCACACAGATCGACAACCACACACACACACACACACACACACACACACACTCAAAGACAAATAGATGTATAAAAAAAAAATTAAAAAAAAAATTAAACACACACAGACACACACACAAATCCAAATTCAAAGACCACCATATTGAAATATAACAAACAAATATCGCATTTACTCGACGAGATCATAAGTTGAGCTCATTTTGTCTTTTCCAATGTGAGAACTAGTCTCTTTGAGTGAAAACTCATTCCACCGAATTTAGTTTACACCAAACCCACCTTCGCCTACGGTGCAGCAGTGGTGAGACGCCGGAATAGATTTAGCAAATAGCACCCTAGGATTTAACCCTCATTATATATATATATATATATATATACCAAATCTGGCAAGTTATGGACCTTATTTCCCTCAGTGGTGGTCACACTGTCCACCGGTTGCAAAACCCTAGGGAAATTGCTCTAGTAATCCCTGTGTAGAAGATTTGAAACAACAGTAAGTGTTAATGATAAGCATACACATATGTGATTAAAAAGTGAACAATAATAATAAATCAGAAAAATGCAAAGAAACAAGAGTTGGTGGAGCAGATCTGGTCGATGGAGATGGAGATCGGTGGAGGAGATTAAAAACGACGACGCGGCAAGGGTTCAAATCGTTGGTGGATCTGTGGTCTGCAATCAAACCAAAGGTGTCAGAGCGGCGACAGAAGAGGAGATCAAAGACGATAGCAATAACACACTACAACATATAAGAGTTTTAAAGACCAAATTTTGATCTCTAAAAATAAAAATTTTGTTGCAAAAGACATTTAGGGACTAATTTCTATCGTCGTTAGGATAATCGCTAAACTGTCGTCCCGAAAAGTGAAAAATAAAGCTTTTAGCCACAAAATTTTGAAAATGTCACTAACAAATATACTTTTAGAGACAAAATAATTTGGTCTCAAAAGGTTTATTTTTTGAGACAAAAAATTGGGTCTCAAAAAGATAATAATTCATCACTAATATCCAATTTTCGTTGCCAAAAATATAATAATGAAATTTTTCGTAACAAAAATCTTTGATCCCTAAAAAATAATTTTGTCCCTAAATTTTAGTCCTTAAAACTTTAATTTTTTGTAGTGATAGAGGGTTTTCCAGATGTCCGCGGCAGTAGCGTGTAGACACCCCATTTTTGACCGTCCTTAAGATTTGGACGTCACCGTTTGAACACTCGGTGATTATCCATGTTTGTGTTCATCTTGAGTTCCCAGAAGTCTTGGCTGCGTGCCTCGCCTCAGGATCTCTCGACCTGACTGTTCCGTGTTTGACTTTGGCACCAAACACTTGTGTTTTTGCCTTGAAGGGAGGAGAATGGCTTGTTGGCCATCCTCACATTCCACCGGCCTTCCCCTAGCATCACCGGCTGTTTAGGGGTGCCACCGGCCATGGTTTCTTAAAATCAATGGCCGGTCGGCACAATATTCTGCCGACCGGCACTTTATTTTCCCGGTGACATCTTTTGCTGGCCGGTGTGACTCCTTTCCACCCTTGAGGCATGGTGTATGCCAGCTGTGCCACCTGGAATGCACCATCACTCCTCCCCGTGCAGTTTTTGGCTGGTGTGAGCCTTTGAACCCCATTTCCTTCTAGAAGCTTGAACCCTTTGGCCAAGCTTCCCAAGAAGCTTGGCCAGCTGTTTTAGCTTCTCCAAGAAGCCAAGACTCCTTTGCACCCTTTGCCCCTTTCATTTAGCTTCCTTAAGAAGCTTTAGTCTTGGCCCTTTGCCTATTTAAGCAATGATCCTCTCCCTTTGTTAAGGGTTAGAGATTTTGAACCAAAAAACCAGAGCTTTTATATCTATACATCTGATATATCACACTCTCTCTCTATATCTCCCTCTCTCTCATCCTTAGGGTGTGTTTGGAAGCGTGAAAGTGCATTTTGGCCTTACTTTTGCACTAAAACACACACCATTACACCTTGCTCCGAGATTGAGAGGCATTGAGGGTTGTTTGTTGAGGTTTTGGGCTGATTTTGATCAGTAGAGAGTGGCTGGATCATCTGTTCTTCAAGGCTTCTTCAAGGGTGAGACACTTGCTTTAGTTTCTCCAATCTTGCACTAGTTTTCTACCTGTCTTGCATGCTGATTTAGGCTTTGTGTTTAACATGAAAAAGTCTTGTATTTTTCTGCTTAACATCTTTCATTGAGGGTGTTTTGGCATTGGGGGTCGAACTCCTCCCCTTAGGCCTCTTTTGGCCTATTTTGGTGCTCTTTTCTTTAAGCTTTGTTTACTTTGTTGTGTTGGTCTTCTCACCACTGAAATCCAGTGGATTTTCAGTGGTGATGGAGTGATTTTGATGTCTTGTATAGGGGAGGGACGCCCCTCTCCCCTTTGTCCTTCTTTTAGCCTTGTTTTGGCTTAAAAGGGGAACATGCATGCTTGATCATTTTTGGCCCCATTTCAGAAGTTTTTTGGGTGTTTTGGGTCATATTATATCTCTGTCCAATGGTTGTTTGTTGGCCCTTAGCATGCATTTTATACTTGCTTTGTAATTCTCCATCTTGCCTAGAAGTGTGCTATGTGTTTAGCCTAGCATATCCTCTTGTTTTGGCTTTGCTTTGTGAAGTATTTAGCCATGTTTTGTCATGCTTAAAGTCTGTCGGCCACTGATTTTGTCATGTTTGGCATGCTTGATATAGTTGCTTTGCATTTTGGCTTGTAAGCCTTGGTTGTGT